TATGAATTGAAAATTTCAATGAAATGGAATATGGAAAAATTTTTTTTTTTGTTTTTGCCGAATTTTGCAGACAACCAAAAAAAAAAAAAAGAAAGAAAACTTTTTTTCGCTTGATAAAAATAGAATGTCGGTGTGTGTGTGTGTGTTCTATTTACGCCAATATATAGCAGCATACGTTATAACGAAATAGAGAGAAAAAGGAGAGAATATCCGTATACCGTTCGAATATTCGAACGATTCTCTCATACACCGTTTTTTTTTTCTTCAACAAAAGGTAGTAGCAAAGATTTTAGTTGATTCAAATGTAGAGGTAGATTCATTTTTTTTTTCGAACAGCATTGAAAAGAGAAAGTAGGGTGGTAGTAGTGGTATTCAAAAAAAAAAAAAATTCGAACGGTTATAGTGGTCGATCATAAATGACGTTTTTGGATTTATTCCCATTGATGATCCAGAAACGATACATTTCTTTTTAGTCAATAAAGATCGGGTGATTTGTAAATGATAGTCATCATCATTATCATCGTTCGATAAAGGTATGTCGTGGAAAAAACCAAAGAAATAAAAAAAACAATCCGGAATCTCCGGTAATATTTACCCGGTAAAAAACCCGACAAAAAAAACCGCAAAACTATTGCGCTTGCTTCATTCAATGCAGCAGAGAAAAAAACAAAATTCCCCATCATTAAATGTAGCTGTATAAATGAATTCTGAGAAAAAAAATCCGGCCGGGCAAATTTATTACCCGACCGACCGAGAATACCCGCCTTTATCATCATCAACATCATCCGGTTACGTCATTTCAAAATGAGATTGAATGAAAATAAATAAATATTCTCTCTTTGGTTGTTGTGTAAAAGAATCTTTAATTGAAAAAAAACAAAAAACAAAAAAACAAAAAATTCATTTCGTCAAAGGTTTTTGTTTTCAATTTTTTTTCCTGGTAATCTCTATGGACTTTCAACCAAAACAAAAAGAGATTTTCTTTTTCTTTTTTTGAAGGAAAAAAACTGACCAATTTTTCTCTCTCTTGAAAATGTTCTTCATCATCATCATCATCTAATTCTGTCATTCAGAATGCATTTTCAACAAACAAAAAAAAGAAGCTAAATTTAGCCAAACTTGTTTTTGCCTGAATTGGATATATGGTGGAAAGAAACATTTTGAACACACAGAAAAAAACAACCCCCGATCAACCACCACCATTATTATCATCATCATTATCCACCCACCGTTTTACCGTAATGTTATCCGCATTGATATAAAACCTGGTACAGGTAAACAAAATTGCAGATATTTTTTTTTTCCTCATTCATATTTATATTATTGTCACCATCATCGTCATCATCGTGAAACCAAACAAAAAAATTCCCGAGAAGGATGATGATGATGTAATGTAAACAACAACAAAAATATTCATTTCAAAGGAAAAAAACACTAAAAACAAAATTAATTCATTACAGAATTGAATGAATGAAATTCGATTCGTGATTCGATCATCGATGATGACGACATTGAAAATATTGATTCTTTTATTATCGACTTTGGCTTTGAAAAAAACTGTGAATAAAATGAAACATCACTTTGACAATATTGGCTTTCAAATAGTAATCCTGTGTATACGCATTTCCCGTACAAAAAATAAACAAACTTTGATGATGATGATGATGATCAAGGATTAATAATTTTTTTTTTGTTTATAACAACTATATCTGGTAATGGTGAAAAAAGGGGAAAGAATTAATATTCTTCTTGATGTGAATGACAAAACGAATTTGAAAAAAATAAATGACAAAATTTATATAGTGTGTCTATGAATTCAATTATGAATGATGATGATGATGACATTCATAAAACAACTAAACAAAATCATTGTCAATGGAATTATTGACAATGATTTTTTTTTGTTTTTTTGTTATTTCACAACAAACAAACAAACATTTTCAATGTCAGAAAACGTTCAGAAAATCACAAAAAAATGGATTCAATCTAATGGGATAATGTTGTTTCATCATCATCATTTTTGTTCATTCGGAATTATCATCATTTGATGAAATGATTTCTTCTTGAAAACGCAAAATAAAATGAAAAAAATACTTACTTTTTTGCTAAGAAATTTTCAATTTTATCGAATGGAATGTAACACGGAAGAGGAGGGAGGATTGTTGATCAGCAAAAGAATTCGAATCTTTTTGTCGTTCGAAAACATTCGAAATGATTTCACCTGTTCACATATAACATTACAGAATATTTTTGGAAATTTTTTCAAAAAAATTAAGTAATTTTTGATCAATGATGAAATGAAAACAAGTTTTCGATTGGTTTCTTATCGATGTTTGGTTTTGTTTATAAACAAAAAAAAAAGATTCCTGAAGAGAAAAACGATTTCTTTCATTCGATATCACAAATCAAATGAAAAGAACGAGCCAAAAACTTTGAACTTTGTTGAAAAACCGAAACGATAATTTTCTTTTTCTTTTTTTTTGGTTCGATTAAGTAACAAACAAACAAACAAACTGTTGAACAATTGAAATGAAAATGATATCAATTTTTATATCAAAATTCATCATGATAATCAAATATCATCATCATCCGCGAATCATTCATTGAAAAAAAAAATGTTTTCCGAAAACTTTTTTTCATTCGAATTCGAATTCCTCCTCCCACTTCTCCTCCCCATAGATAACACTGTTGAGCGCAATACACATATACAATGACTAACCAGAAATGCTCATTTTCGAATGTTTTTTGTGATTATCGAAATTTCACCCTTTCTTTGTTTGTTTTGTTTTTCAACATTTCCCTCCCCGCTTTATCAGCTTGATGAATCCGAAAAAACAAAACAAAAAGAATCAATTTTCAAACAGCAAGAAATCAAATAATCAAAGATGTCAACAACAAAAAAAACATAGAAAGTGATAACAACAACAACAACAATAATCCTTTCATTTATCGCATCAATCTTTTTGAATGCAATAACTGTTTTTTGTTCAAAAATGATATTATTTTTTGGTGTGAAAATGAGGTTACCATCCATTCATTCATTCATTGTATCCATTTTTTTATTGAAATTATTCAATTTCATCATCATCATAATCATATGATTGAAAGAAAAAATAGTAAGGAAATCTTTCAAAACAAGAAGAAGAACAACAAGAAGAAACGATACAAAGTTCTTGTTCACTTCAATGATGATGATTATCATCAATGAAGAACATAATTTTTTTCGTAATTGAATATCTATCATCACCATCAACAACAACAACATTGGGTCTCTTGTTTTTAGGAGATGGTATGTTTTTTTTAAAAGAAAAAGCATTTTTTCTTTGATTTTTTGAAAATTTTATTTGCCGAATATTAATTATGGATACAGGTGGAAATTATTATGGTTGTAATAGTCATTTTTTTGTTTGGGTAGAAATAGAATCGAATCAAATCAAATCGAATGATGGAAGGTTATCGAATAGGAAATGAGAAGAAGGACATTTCAATTGATCTACTTTTTTTTCCTGTTATCACTTGATCAATCAATCAATCAATCGATCTGATTGATTGATTGATTCAAGGATTCCATTTTTATAAAAATATCTGTCAAAAATAAGCATCAATCAAATAATCAAATAAACCGATGATTAACCTCGAAAATCGACAAAGAAAGAAGAAAGAAACATCATTATTTAGCAAACAAAAATGCCACCATCATCGTTGTTTATTCTGTTTTTTTTTTGTTCTCCATACAATTCTTGGCAATATATAGAGAATATTCTCTAGTCATCATCATCATCATAATCATATTACATCAGCATCATAATTAATTCTGTAATTATCCCTGTTTTTAATCACCATTTACCACCGTCATTATTCTGGAAATTCTATCCAAAAATTTTTAATGTTCTTGTCATTCATTTAATCCAAACAAACCAAACCAACCACCCACACACTTAATCAGGTACATTATTTTGCTGTTTTTTTTCTCATTTAAAATAATCTTTCTTTTTTTAAATTCTAGGTGATGACGTTTTTGGAAAAAAAACAGAATTCTCGCACCACCACCATCATATAATTTACATCTTTATTTCGTTTTTTTTATAATCAACATTTGGATGAAATTAGTAACAATGTATAAACGACAACAACAACTATTCAATGTCAAATCATAAAACTTAATTTGTTTTGTTTCTTTTTTCCAGCCGTTGTTGTTGTTGTTGTTGTTGCCAATCGGAAACGGCATATAATTATCATCAACAACGTCGTAAGAATTTATCGTTTTTGTTGCTGTTTTTGATTGAAAAAAAAAACAAATAAGCCGAACAAATCTTCCCTGAAAAAAACGTATCGATTTCTTTTTATTTTCAAGAAAAAATTCTTATGAATTCTCCTTGTTGTTGTTGTTGTTGAAAATCATTATATTTTTTAAAATAATATTTCATCATTATAGATTGATCATAAGGTGATCAAATTTGAAAACCACCAAATATTATTATTATCACTACTACTACTTGGCTACATTTACAACCATTATAATAATAATGATAATAAAACGCCGGAAACGCTAATAAAAAAAAAATGTTGGCTTTTATTTTTATAATGCTGAATATCATTATCAAATGAACGAACGAATGGAAAAAAAACTTGATTGATCATCTTCAGATGTAACAAAACAACAACAACAACAACAAGAATAGACAAAACAAACCAAATAATAATAATTTTTCAGTACATATCTATTTTTAGTGTTTTATGATGATGATGATGATTTTTCTATTTTTTCAAGTCAATTTTTGAAATCTAAAAAACTTTGCTTTTGACAGAAAAAAAACCAAAGAATTAATCAGCAATGATGACTTTGCAAATGGAAAAATTTCATCAAAAAAAAAAGTCTTTCTGTTTTTAAACAGAATTTTTTTGTATCATCAAAATCGATTGATTCGAATCAACGGAAATCGATTTTTCAAAAGGAAAAAAAAATTGATTCTTTTTTTATGACATTTTTCTCTCTCCCCCCAGTTTTTCCAGGTAATAACACTTTTTTTCCCTGTAATCTTTAGATGTGTAAAAAAATGACTGAAACACACACACATGATGATGATCAAACAAAGTACGTGCATATCATAAATTATGATTACCTGTCTGTCTGTCAGCCGTATCGAAATATTTACAATCTTTGTAATCAAACACACACACACACACACACAGGTGACACTTGTTTTAGGGTAAAATTTTTTTATTACCGAAAAAAAGAATGTGTGCGTGATGAATCCAGGATGTTTGTATTTTATAACCATAAAGGTTTGTAAAAATTTTTTTGAATGAAATTTTTGTTTCATCTTTGAAACTTACATTGATACAGGTGAAATTTTGGAATATTCTCCATCGGATGATTATTGAAATGCGAATCATATGATGATGCAGACGAAGATGAAGAAGATGCGGATGATGATGTGGATGTGGATGAATTTGGTTGCTGCTGTTTCGATTCGACAAACATCATTACCATAATGGCAGATTTTGTTGCTGCTGCTGATGATTGATTCATCATCATCATTTTGGAATAATTTTTCAACGAAAAAAACAAAGCAAAAAAAACGAAAGTTTTCAACGGAAACCCTGTTCAAAATTCATCAAATTACACGCGAAAAATCAATAAAATCAAAGAGAAAATAATGTCTTCCATATGAAAAAACAACAATAATAATACGATTGATTGATTTGATCAAAACCTAAAAAACGATGGTTTAAAAACCAAACCAAACAAAAAAAAAATCTACATCATTATTATCATCTTTATATCCAAGCATTCCCCCCTTTTTTATTTGTTGATAAGTAAGATAATCATACAATATTTTCTATGTTTCTCACTCTGTGTGTGTGTTTTAATAGATAAACAACAACAACGAAAACAACATCGAAAACAATAATCGTTGATGACGACAATCGGTATTTTGTTTCTTTTTTTTTGTATGTAAGTTTGGTATGTCGTTATTGTTGATAATTTTTTGAAACTAAAACCATTTTTTTTATCCATATTTTCTCTCTGTAGTTCTCTAAGGAATGTCAGTATTTTTCTTTTCTTCAAAAATTAATTAATTAATTTGGAAGAAACAAAAATCTTAACAAAAGTCAAATCAAGTTCAATCATGGGTGATTATCTTTGTTTTTTTTAATTATCATCATCTTGAAATCCAGAGCAAAATTATGAATGAAATAACCCATCAACACAGACACTCATCTTAAACTTATAAACATTTACAAGGAATTTTTTTTTTGTAAAAATTTTTATTTAGCCAAAAAAAAATCACATTTCAACGGAAATAATAATAATAATAATTTCATGACGACGTTACACTGTAACCGGTTGTTGTTGCTGCTGCTGTCTTGGTTCAAGAATACAAACAGGATTATCATAAACCATTTGTAAATCAATTTTATGTCCAACCAGATCACGTATATTAGATATACCATATTTAATCATTGTTGGTCGTTCCAATGATAAACCCCAACCTAATACATTAATATCATCAGGTAATTCCATTGGTTTTAACATTTCCGGTCGAAATAGACCAGAATTACCTATTTCAACCCATTTACCAAAACCTGAATGCCAACTATACATTTCCATTGATGGTTCTGTGTAAGGATTATATGTTGGTTTAAATCGTATATCATTGATACCTAATTTTTCAAAAAATGCTTTTATCATTCCCATTAAATGACCTAATGTTAGATTACGATCAGCAACAACACCTTCAATTTGACTAAATTCAGCTAAATGTGTTGCATCCAATGTTTCATTACGAAATACACGATCAATACTAAAAAATTTTAACGGTTTAAATTCTTTATCATCGCCGCTTGCACCAGAAGAACGTTTAAATTCTTGTGCAGCACGATAAAGCATCCTTGCCGATACAGCTGTTGTATGCGTTCGAAGAACATTTTTCCTTGTTTCCGATTCTTTCCATTCATATTGATAACCAATTGATCCACAATCACCACCATTTTCATGTACAGAACGAATACGTTCCATATAATCACGGGGTATATCTTTACATTCAGCCGGATCGGAAATATAAAATGTATCTTGTAGGTCACGTGCTGGATGTTTTTGTGGTACAAACAATGTATCGAAACACCAAAATGAACTTTCAACAAAATTATTTGTTGACATTTCTTCGAAACCCATTTCAAGAAATATTTGTCTAAATTGTTCACGAACTTTAAGTAATGGATGTAGATGACCACGATCCGGTGCAATTCCTTTTGCATTAAAATTATATTCTTTAAATTTTTTTGTACGCCATGTACCACGCGTAATCATTTCGGCATTCAAATCGGTTTCAGGTTTTTCAATTGTAGTTTGGAAATTCTGGCCACGTTGAATGTCATAACTTTTTTCCAAAATTTCTTGTATTAATTTGCGTTTTTTAAGATCATTTCGTTGTGAATCGTTTAACTAAATTATTTTGAAAATGATAATTTCAGATCATTTCATCATCAACAAAGTAAACAAACAAACAAAATTTACCTTGTTAGCAGCACCACTTTGTACCAATTTAAGTAGAACACGAATTTCATCTTTAACATTTGTTAAATTTCTTTTCACCATTGGTTTACCGGATGATTTATCAATAGCTATCCATTTGTTTGACATTGCTTTTGCAAAACCTAATTTCGAAACATTTGAATCCGGTATTGATTTCATTAGATCAGATTGTAATATTGATCCATCGTTGGGTATGGCTGACCAAACACGAAATTCATGACTACCATTTTCAACAATTTGTTCACCTTCATCGGTCAATTCAAAACGTTTTGATTCCACTTGATTTGATTGAATTAAATCACCAAGTGATTGTAATGATTTTACAGCACCAACAATTTTTTGATGTTCAAATTGATTTTCTTGTGCAAAATCTAATGAATTTATCTTTTCATTCGGTGATTGTAATAGATTTAATTTTTCCAATAAAAGTTGACTTAGCGATTCTTGATCAGACATTGTTTTACTTTGAACAAATTTTCAAAATGAAATTTTTCAAAAATTTGGAAAAAAAACATCGATTGGACCACGTTGTCAGATGGTAAACACACAAACAGAAAAAAATTCCTGTTCAAAAAAGACGAAATCAAAATTTTTTTTTTGATTCATTTTTGATACCCGTACAGCCATCTATCGATAAAAAAAATCTTTCAGATTTAAAGTTCCAATTTAAAATGACGCATCGAATGCCGAAGTAACGCCATCGTTTGGTGGAAACATATAAATTGCGGACAAAAATAGGGATAGTCAATTGATGATGCGCCTGTGTGTGTGTTTGTTAAAGTGCGAGTGGAAATTGTAAACAAAGATTTTCAGAAAAACAACAAAACAAAAACTCAATCATCATCAAAAAGCCAACAACGAAGACGACGACGACGATAATTAAAGCATCGTCTCTTCTTTTCTTTTTTGCTGATCAATTCGAAAAAAGCGAATTCGGTGCGATCAAAACGTTTGGATTTTTTTTTTGGATTTTCGGATCATTCGAATGGATGGATGGATAAACAGAATTGACCCGAAAAATTACGAACGTCATTTTTTTCATTGAAAAAATAACCCCTGAAGAAAAACGAAGAAAAAAAATATTTTTCTCTCAAAATTGATTCCAATCGATTATGGCATTTAGTGGCCATCCACAAGTAGTTGAATTTTTTCGTTTGGTCGATAATAATTCATCTGTATCAAATAATTTATCATTAGCTGCAGCATTTGCTAGAGTTGCACGTTTACCACATAGTATATTTCGTTCATCATCATCAGGTGGTTCATCATCATCATTAATTGGCGGTAACGGCGGTGGTGTTGATATTAATTCAATCAATACGGAAACATTTAATAATACAAATTTACAGTTAAAATTTTGTCCACAACGTTTAGCAACAATGGGTACAATGTCCGATATACGTGCATTAGAACATCAAACAATCAAGGTGCCATATGAAATATTGAATAAAAAATTCCGTATGGCACAGAAAAATATTGATCGTGAAGCATCACATGTACAATCATCAATTTCTGAATTGGAAAAATTGGTTAATCAATCCAAAGATAATAATGATGATAATATTGATGATGGTGATGGTAATGTTGATGGCAATGGTGATGGTAATGTTGATGAACCAGTTACAATTGGTCGTATCAATGAATTATTGGTTGGTGTTGTAAATAAATTATCCGTATTGAAACGTAAATCAATTGAATCAATAACGGATGAAATAAGTGCTGCAAATGTTTGTAAACGAAGATTAGATCATCTTAAAGAATATTATCTAATGAGTAGTAAACAACAACAACAACAACAGCAACAATTAAATCAACAATTACGGAATAATCAACAACAATCGGATCAATCGCCAACAACAATAATAAATGAAATTGATGATCCAGCCATTGTACAATGGAAACGTAAACGTATGGATCGTATGCTTGTTGATCATTGTTTACGTGCTGGTTATTATGAAACAGCCATACAATTAGCTGAATGTTCTGATATTGATAATCTAACAAATATTGATATATTTTTAGTTTGTAAAGATATTGAATTATCATTGGCTAAACATGAAACATCACGATGTTTATCATGGTGTCATGAAAATAAATCTAAATTAAGAAAAATTAAATCAACATTAGAATTTAGTTTAAGACAACAGGAATTTATTGAATTAATACGTTCGGAACAACGTGTAGAAGCTGTTCGATATGCACAGAAATATTTTTCCAATCTTGAAGATCTTGGTGGTATAACCATATCGAATGATTTATTACGTGTTATGGGTTTATTAGCATTTCAATCAAATACTAATATTGAACCATATAAATCATTATTTGATTTACAACGTTGGCAACAATTAATTCAACAATTTCGTCAAGAAAATTTTAAATTATATCAATTAACAAATGCATCAATATTTTCAATAACATTACAAGCTGGTTTGTCATCGCTGAAAACACCACAATGTTATCGAAAAGATGGTAATCGTAATAATGAATGTCCAGTTTGTTCAGAAGGTTTAAATAAATTGGCATCATCATTACCATGTGCACATTGTTCACAATCACGTTTAGTTTGTTTTATATCGGGTGAACCAATGAATGAAAATAATCAACCATTAATGTTACCAAATGGTTATGTTTATGGTGAAAAATCATTAAGGAAAATGGCTGATGATAATGATGGTAAAGTTACTTGTCCACGTACAAATGAATCATTTAATTTTAAAGCAATTGAAAAAGTTTATGTTATGTAATTGCGGATGATGATTTTTGTCTCTTTTTTTTTGGTTTTCACATACGGCCAAATCATACTTTTCATTTTAAAATAATCAATAGTGTCAGGATTTTTCTTTTCTTTTTTTGTTTGTTTGTTTCACACTTATCTTTAATTAAAATAATATGTAATTGTGGATTAATCTTAATCGTTTTTTTTTCTTTTTTCTTTCAAATAAAAATGAAATATTACAAAATTTTCGTGCAAGATGTGAATATAGTATATACTGGTGCGGGTAATGATTTGAAATTTGCCAAAGAAAAAAATAATAATAATAATATTTTTGTCGATTGCAAATGATGAATTAATGATTTAAATAAAAATGAAAAATAAAAACATATTATTATTATTATTATTGTAGCTGTTTAATATATCTATACAATTCACGTTCCATAATTTTCAATTCATCCATACGATAACGATATAATAATATTAGATTTTCTAATGGACATTTTTGACATAGATTATCATAATGATTAACACAAACAAGACGTAGATTACCTTTTGTTTTTGAGAAAATAAAAGAAAATTAACAAATAAACATTATACAAACAAAACAAAAAATTAATCAACATACCATCATCATGTTTACAATTACATTTGATTGCTGATAAAAAACAAGTAGTTTTACAATAATCACATTGTCTTTCATCATCTTTAAATGTTTCGAATGAAAAATATTCAGTATTCATAACACCAATTGTAAATATTTTATGTCGTAGATGCATTTCATTTTTGATCATTTCTTTTAAATCATCATATGTTGCTAATGCTAAACATTGATTCAAATCTTTACAACCATCAGCCATTTTACAAATAAGTTCATCATGACTAAATACTGGATAACGATGAAATGTTGAATAATGTGATATGGATAATCGACCAGTCGGTAACCAATCGGCTGTTGCAAAATTTACTGCTTCAGCAAAATTAAATCCTTGATTAAAACCAGCATGATATGAACGTGGAAATGTAACAACAAATTCTCCGGCTCTTTGATCAGTACGATAAATCTAATTGAATCCAAACAAAAAAAATTGAATCAAAATTAATCAATTAAAATAAATAAATACTTACAGGAACACCTAATTTCATTAATAAATTAGGATTACAAGTAGTAACTAAATGATGTAATAAATCTGGTTGTGAACTAAATAGATCTGGTGCTAATTTTTGCATTGCCGATTCAAATATTTCTGCTTTATTACCCGGTACACCATACCAACTTTTTGGTTCACCCCAATGTAAATAATTGATTGAATATGTCCAATGATCTTCATTATGCCAACAGAATGCTGAAAAACACATACCAACATACATCCATGGTATAATCATACCATTAATATTTGTATTTATATGTTCAAAAACTGAACCATATAATGTTGGTAAATTATTTAGATTCCAAGGTGATTTTATATAACACTGATTATTTCAAGACAAAAGAAAATTAGTTATTTAAAAGGAAAAAAAAACGAACAAACCTTTTTATCATCAGGAATTGATGAAATATTTTTTGTTGTTGGAAAACCACTACCATAATCATTTGTATAAAGATCGGCACCATATTCAACACAGACAACATTTTCAAATGGTGTCGATACAATACGCCAAAATTCTTTTTCCAAATCTGAACATTTAACTTTTGTTGGTGGTGAACAACGAAAATAATTTTCCTTAAATTTATCGGCCATTTTACCAAATTCTTTTAGCGTATAAGTTTTTGGTGATTGTGTAAAACCAAATTCATTTGTATAGGTTTTTGTTACACGTTCCAAAATGGTTGATAAACATGAATGACAATGCCATTGTCCTTTTGGTATATCATTGAATGGTGGTATTAAACATGTTTTATGAAATGAATTTTTACATTTATGACATGTTAATAATGAATATGATTGATAATTATCATAACAATTGAAACAGAATTTATTTTCTTCTTCTTCTTCATCATCATCAGCATCATCGCCATCATCATTACCATTATCATTGATTTTTCCATCAACAATTTCTTGATCTTGATCTTCTTTTTTAACATTTTTTCCATTGAGATCATTATGACTATTGGCCAACGATTTCTTTTCAATATCATTCGAATCATGGCCATTATTATGATTATTATTTATAGATGATTTTGAATCCATTGGATTTTTTTTCATTATCATCATCTGTTCATTTAATGATAATAAATCAACATGATTATCATCACCATTATCATCTTTTTTAATTAAAGGGGCATTCGAATCATTACAACTACTAATATTTTTGGGTTGTTTTACTTTTGGTTCATCATCATTATCATCTTGTTCTTGTAGTTGTTTCCATACCTCTGGATTTGTTGTTGCACCACTTAAAAATATATCATATGGATATAGATAACGTTCATAATATGTACGTAATGATGTTGAATTATGTTTTTGATAACCAATTCGTTGTGCAATTTTGCCCCATTTTCGAATTCGTGTACAAATTTCAAAACCACCTTCATCTTTTACAACTGAATGTAAACGATAAACATCCAGATATTTTTTCTCAATAGTTGGTATACGTAATGTAATTCCTTGTAGATTCCAAAATTTACATAATTTATCCGTAAAATTTAGCCGTATACGTGAACCAGCTTCTAAATCATTAATACGTTGTGTACGTGGTGTAAAATGAAATTCATTACGATCGATTGCAAATGGTACTTGAAATTCCTTTGAAATTTGAAAAATGACAATTTTACTTGATCAAATTCAAATCGAATCAAATCACAAAACGAAACAAACCTTTGGCGGTATAATTTTACAAATACCAAATGGTTCAGCATTCGAACGAATTTTACTTATATAATCGATTGGACCAAGACAAAATTCATCATATGTTGGACAGAATATTGGACATTCAGGTGGATGTTCAAATTGAAATGAACGTAATTTTTCATAATCAATTTCAGGTGGTGGTTGTTGTGGCTGTTGTTGTTGTTGTTGTTCCTTAACATTTTGATTATTATCACCATTATCATTCGATTCGGATAGCTGTTGCTGATCATTCATATTTATTGTTGCCATAATTCATTAGAAACAAAAACAAAAATTAATTTCCAAAAAAAAAACAGAATTAATCAAAACAACAAGATTCGAATGAATGCCAAACACACGACTCACACTAATAAAATTTCATTAACGCCATCTATTGGTTTCGAAAATTCTATAGAATCTGTAAGGCTGGGCTGTTTTCAATTCTTTTGTTTTTGCTTTTTTTGGGGGAAAACAAAACTAGATGGTGTTAGTTTGATCAAAAAAAAAATTCGAATCTTTTTTTTTCTGGGTTTTTTCGAGTTTTTGTTTTGTTTTTTGGTTTTGCAAACCGGCAGATGTTTTTTCGAGTGACTTTTGTTTCTGGTTTTTGCAAACATTTTGTGTTCCAAATGGAACAAAAGCCATATGTTTGATTCCATGATTGCTCGTCGTCGATGTTGTCGGTTTTGGATCATAACATTGACGGATTCCAAAACGTTTTGATTTTGAAAATTTTCGATTTTGCAAATCATTTGACATTGATAATTTCAATTTTAAATTAAAATTAAATTGAAAAATCAACCAACCGAATCGTCGAAAAAAAAAATTTCGTCAATATGAATTGCGTGTGTGTGTGTTTTTGTTCTCAATGAAAAAATCCCCATTTTTTGCCATTGATTAGAACGTGCTTTACCTGAAAGACACAAAAATCATCATTTCGTAATTAATGAATTGAAAACATCAAATAATCAAACATCAAAAATTACCTGATTGATAAATTAATGTTGAAAATTTTATTTTATTTGCAACCAGTGAGCGGTACCAACAACCATTTCATCAAACATCATTTTGAACGTGGTGAAATTGATTTTTGTTGTTGTTGTTGTTGTTGTTGAGAAATTTAGATTATAAAAATAGAACAACGTGATCAACATCCATAATTGATGGTCACGATTTGCTTGTTTTTTTATAAGTGATGTGACAAAAGTTTTCCTAAAAAAAGATAATCATTTTCCACTTTACTTGATTCATGGATTATCTTCATTTCCTTATCATCATCATCATCATCATCGAATTTCGAATGATTTTTTTTTCTAAAAACGTTAACGTCATTTGTGAACACAACATCCTTCACCACCATCAAGCTGTTCCTGTGTTCGATTCGAATTCGAATGAATTTTCCCAATTTTTTTTCTGTTGTCGAAAATCAATCAATCAATCAATTATCGATCTGATCGATTGATAATCAAATTAGGGATGAACATCATTATCTTTATCATCATCGTCATCATCATCATCAAGAAAAAAAAGCCATCCAATCAATCATTTTGTGAACAACGTTGACAACTGTGTAAATCAAATTAACGACCTCAAAGGCTTGTTCAAATGACATCCTCATCTTAAATTGACAAGATAAAGTGTCGTGAATGTGGACTAAAAAAATTAAGATATATCCGTCTTTTTTTATAAATTGAATTTTTCATCTAAAATTAGATTTTTGTTTTCGGAAAAAAAGGTGATGATAATCACACAGACGGATGTGTTTGGTTCGAACAAACAACAACAAAACTAACAAGCTTAAACCTTCAAGATTATCTTCAATCTAAAATCTAAAATCATCATCATCATTGGAAAATTTATTAATTTCTATAAGGTAAGTTCTACGAAAACATTTTTTCTTTTCCAAAATAACTTCATATTTGAAATGATATTTTCTTTCGGGAAAAACTTACGGAAAAAAACGGATCATTTTTTTCTTGTTGATATCTATGTTTGTAATGGACTTTTCGATGAATATTTTTCTCTCTCTTCTTTGAAAGATATTCGGTTTTTATTTGGAAATTTCTGTTTTTGATGTTATTTTCATCATCGATTGATGTTTATCAATTTGTTGTTTGCTTGTTTGTTTCTTTTTAATGGGTTACCTAAATTCTTTCTTTCTTTATTTTAGTTTTTGAATTCGATCGATTGTATTGAATCAGACTTTAAAAATCGATTTTTTAAAAAAAGAAAAGAAAAAGAAATTAATGTTTGTTTATCCTCAATTCGATTTCAAAATTTAAAACAAATTAATAACGTTAATATTTTGGTTACCAATAGTGATATTGATAACCAAAAAGAAAAAAAAATCATCCAGTTGGTAATGTCCAATGTTATTTGTGGGTATAGTTGTTGTTGTTGTTTTTCTACTTTGGCAATCCAAAGAATTTCCCAACACAAAGCTGGTTAAACATATCCTCATGGCGTCATGACGCCCAAATTTTTCCAACCAAATAATCAGATTGATTTGTAGATTGGGGTTGTTGTTTGATTGGTGGTGGTGGTGGTGGTGGTAGAGGTAGATTATTTCCATTTTCTGTAATCAAACAAAAAATGACTAAAAAAGAAGGAGATGAAAGAGGTGAAACTTTCTCTTTTGTTTCCCAATCAAATTAACAGGAAAGAGAGAGAGAGAAGAAAATAATGATTTTCAAAGTGAGAGAAATGTAGTAGTGGTAAATGATTGATGGATACTTTTTTGATTACCATCATCATTATGCATATATATCAAATTTATTGATGTTTAATGTGGGTGGTTTGATGATGATGATGATGATGATAATAACAAACAACAATTTAGCGATTTGATCATCATAACTACACCAAATGAAAATCCATAGATGTTGATGATGACATCTACAAAAAGATAAATCGAATCAAGTAGCCAGGATGCCGTTTTTTGAATCATCATTCGAATCATAAACATCTTTTTTGTTGTTTGAAACCGAACACACACACACAGGACATAACATTCAATTTCAGCAAACTTGTTGCACATTGTTTCTGTATTTTTTTTGATCGAAACAAATATTGTTGCTACTGCTGTTGTCTGTTATCATCATCATTCATCATCATTTACATCATTCATTTACATTGAAAACATCGATTCTATCCAATATTGTCGTTTGTTTTGTTTATTTATTTGATTGCTTTTGTCGTTCTTTCACTCTTTCTTTGTGTTTCATTTGTGAATGATGAATATGTGCGTTCCATGACTTTTGGATCTTTGCAGTCAGAAAAAAAACGCCATAAAAATCTTTCTGTCGTGTTTGTGTTATTCAATTTGATTGATTGTTTTTTGATTTGAATTGTGTGATAACAATGATTGGTAAGTGTTGTTTTTTTGTTTTGAATTTTTTGGATCAATTTTTGGTTTTTTAGAAAATTTTCAAATTTTACCTATCAACCTAACCTCACTGAACTATGAATCACAGTCATAGTCATAGTCATCAACCTAACCTCACTCAACTATGAATCATAGCCATAGCCATAGTCATAGTCATCAACCTAACCTCACTGAACTATGAATCATAGTCATAGCCATAGTCATTAACCTAACCTCACTGAACTATGAATCATAGTCATAGCCATAGTCATCAACCTAACCTCACTCAACTATGAATTATAGTCATAGTCAATAGTCATGGTCATAGTTTTAGTCATTAAAATTTTTTTTTATTGTTGCTATGATCTATTTCAAGTTTAGACATATATAGACGTAATTTGTACGTAATTAAATAACGGTATTTTGGTTACCAAATCAATGTCATTAATAATTTTATCCAGATTCATATTACCAAAAAACATTTATATAATTCGATATTATTTATTTGTTATGTGAACGAAAAAACAATAAACAGTCAAATTGTCATATCAAATTATCCGTTAGGAATTCATTTTATAATCAAATCAACCGGAATCACATGTCTTATTTTTTGACATTCAAATCAAAAAAAAAATCATTTTTCATTATATCAGATTTCGATGAGCTATTTTTTAGCAAACATCTTCTTTTCCAAAATCCTTTTTTTTTTATTCAAACAAATCTTCTTTCAATTTTTTTCCGCTGAGATTATTCTATTTATTTTTGTCTTGTTTCCTTAAAGATTTCTCAATTCTTCTTCTTTTTTGCTCGCATTGTTCTTTTAATCCCAAAGCAATAAGCCGATTTCTTTGTAGGCAAACAAACCAATAACAACAACAAAATCTTAATACAATCATAAGATCGTTTTTAATAAAGATGATAAACTTCCGTTATAAATAGTTTTTTAGTAATTGTTATGAAATGATAATATTACATAATGTTTTGCTTATTTACACACACACACACACCGAAAACACACACACACACACACACAACGACTGACAAAATGTCAATGGTCTTCCGACCACACACACACAAAAATTGATCCAATCACTGTATTGATTAATGATTTTTTTTTCTCTTCCCAATCAATCAATCAATCGATTAATAGATAGCCAATTTAATTTTTCAAAAAATCTAATTTTGTCATCATCAAGTGATCGGTTCTTTCAACGAATATTTTTGATTTTGTGTCTGTGTGTTTGATCAACTTGTTGCTGTTTTGTTTTCTGTTTTCCGCCATGTTTTGAAAAATTAATTTTCAATTTGATTTTGATTTGATTGATTTTTGTTATTGAATTGAAATTCAAACATCAACCAAAATGATTGAATGCTCATCAACGAAAACATCATCATCGTCGTCGTCGAAAACATCAACAACCGCCGCCGCATCTTCTTGTATGGGAGTTGTCGTTTGTCAATATGATAATAGTAATCGACAAAAAACAATTATAAAACAAACAACAACATCACCATCAATATCATCATCACCTTTAATAATGTCGATAAAATCGAATAAAATTCAACAATTAACACAGCTATTTGATAATAGCAATAATAATAATGGAAAATCATCCGCTCGAGGTTAGTTTTTTCCCCGAAAATCATTGAATTTTATTCTCGAAAAGATGTCATTATGAAATGGATCCAATGTTGCATCGTACAATGTTTTCCAATGTTTTCTCGATTATTATTATTATCATTATTGATGAATGAATGAATGAATGATGATGGATGATTCATATTAACCTAAATTTATTCCAATATTAGTGTGTAATGCTTGTTTTGTGATAATAAATGATGATTGCATTCAATGATGATGAGGATGATGGTAGTTTGTTTTTATTTATTTTTCCCCTTGTTATGATCCTCACCCGTTATATTAGATAGATTGCAATGTATAAGTACGTGCGTGTACATGGCTTGCGTGTGTATATCGCTTGTTTTGTTTGTCTTTTTTTTTAAAAAAAAAGATAAGATTTATATTATGAAATTTACATTTTCTTTAATGTGATTTGATTTGATTCAAAAAAGTTTAAATCGATCATCATTATTATTGAGATGCTTATCATCTCCTTGCAAAAAAAAATCTTTGATCTAATATATTAATACGATGATCGATGATCATCGATTTTATTGATTTCTGATCATAATAATCTTTGAAAAAAAATTTTCTGTAATCTTCCTATTCCTTTCAGTTTGATTTTGTGGGATCAGGAAATCATTAAGCAGCCCGGTAATGTCAATAATTGATTGATTGATTTAAAAAATTGAAAAAAAAAAATTCTGAAACTTTTTGCAATTTCAATCGATAGATGGCGAAACCGACATTAGAAAAATTTTAAAGAATTTATGGCCACAAAAACTCATCCATTTTTGGCTTTTATCCATTATAGAATTAGACTTTCTTTGGTTCAATATGAATTCTTGTTCTGGGTTGTTTTTTTCCTTCAACCATAAAACCAAAAATTGATTTATTTTTTCATTGAAAAAAATTCTTGCATCCATTCATCCATCCATCCGTCATCATCATTCACTAAAAATAGATTTTTTTTTCCTATTAAATTCTAACCCGGAATTTTATTTTCTGATCATGAAATACAGGCTGTACATCATCATCATCATCATCATCAACATCATCATCAAATTCATCATCAACATCGATTACACCGATACCATCACCAACAACACCTACACCTTTTCATTCCATTTCATATGATTATGATTGCGATGTTGATGATGATAATAAAATCATAGAAAACGATAATAATAATGGTGGTGGTCTGAAAAATCAAAAGAATTTATTATTATCATCATCATCATTAGATGAAAATAATGTAGGAAAAAATTTGGCAAATAATCAAAATCGTTGTTGTATATCATCAAAGACGAATGTAAAACGAAATTCTTCATCACCACCAACAGAATCAACAGCTAAAACAACGCAACGAGAACGAAAAGTAAATGTTATCGCTACTGAATTAGTGAAATCAACATTTTTACATGGTAATAAAAATCATCAGACAACAATAACGACGAAAGCCAATTCGGGTGAAACAAACGGAGAATCTTTGACGAAACAACAACAGCAGCAAAGAAAATCTTCAAATTCCGTACGTTTTTCTATTGATAATAATAATCAATTAGAGCATCATTCTGGTGAAAACGATAATGATAATGGTAATGGTGGTGGTGATGATGAAGAACAACGTCCACGATTACCACCAAAACCATCATTTTTACGAAAGAAATCTAAACAAATAAACAATAATGAGGATGATGATGATGATGAAATTCTACGTAAACAACAACAACAATTAATTAATAATCGAAGACATTATTCAGCACCATCGATCTCAACACTTGCATCATCAACATCATCATTAATATTATCATTAACAGTCAATAATAATAATAATAATAATGATAATCAGCAGCCGCAATCGACGACTATAACAACTAAGACGACAAATTTAAAACCAACATTACGACAGATATCATCATCATCAAGAAATAATAAAATTGCAGCAGCTAAACATAGTTTTTTATTTGGAACAACAACAACAACAACAACAGAAACATCACAACAATTTAATGAAAAGGATTATTCAATTGGTGGTAAGATTTCATATAGTTGTTTGTTTGTTTGTTTGACCTCAATTTCAATGAGATTCTTTCTCTCTCTCTTTTGTTGAAGAATTATGATATTTCTATCTGTTTAACTTTTGTCTATCTTTGTTTTTGAATTCTTCTTCTTTTCAGTTCTTTTTTACGCTTATTTTGTGTTTTTTTTGTTTTGTTTTGTTTGATTTTCTTTTTGTTTTCATCGCTATTTCCGTTTTCCTTATTTCTTTTTTCGTTTCGTAACTAATTAACTAACATTATCATCATTGTTGTTGGTGGTGATTATGTGTGTCTACTGGTGGTGGTGTGTGTGAAAGTTTTTTCTAAAAGAAATAATTCATTTCACTTGATACTTAAAATATATAATGTCTTCATTGGAATCAACAACAACAAATTCTATTGTTAATAATAATAATAATAATAATAATATTGAATTGGAAAATTCAAAAAAAATTGAGATAAAATTACGAGAGAAAAGACAACAACAACAACAACAAAATTCACCTGTAGAATCAATACGTCCATTGGGTATTATTATTGATACAGATTTGAATTTGAATGAAGAAGATAATAATATTGAACAACAGCAGCAGCAACAACAAAAGCCTAACATAGAAGCATATCAATCATCCGATTCAATTTGGTAAATTTTGAATTTTGAAATTTTGATTTGTTTTAATTTAATTATCTTTGCTTTTCTGTCCACAGTGAACAACAACCGCAACAAGAAGATTATAATATTGATCCGGCCTTATATTTTCATAATCGTAATCCAACATTAGAATCATTCCGTAATGGTAATGGTGATAATGATAATAAGAAGATTAATAAATCTGATTCATTAGATTCACAACAACAACAACAACAAGCTTGTTGTACAAAATTAGCATTTAATTTCTATAATAAAGCATTGGATTCGGCTAAAAAACATTTACCAAACAGGTAATGAATTCCGTCAGAAAATTGTTAATTTAATTTAATTCAAATTAATTATGATTCGATAGAAATCGACAGAAAAATCGTTATTCAGGTGGTTTTCCACGTTCATTTGGTGAAGATTTTCATTCATTAGGACCGGATGGTTTTTATTATCTTGATAATGATCAACAAACAGAATGTTCATTAGATTATCGTGATTTAGAATTTAATCGTGATTCATTTTTATCATTTACCGGATCAGAAGTAATACCGGAATTATCGGAAGAAGAATTTTTTGAAAATAAAATTCAAAGAAAATCTTTGAATCAACAACAGAATCCAACAAATATTGATTGTACTGTACGGAATTTTCAACAATTACCAACAGTTCAAGGTGGTGAACAAACTTTAGCACCTATCATTGGAATAATGGACGAAAATGAACCAATGTCATCAACAACAACAGATCAATCAATAATAAAACAACGTAAAGGTCCATCATTATTTGATCGATTATTTCGACGTAAAGATGATAATAAGAATAAAAAATCGCGTAAAGCTCGATCTGAATCACGTGAAAGAGAACGTCGTACGAAAAATATTCGTGCAACATCATTACCACCATCGACAACGAATATAGGTGGCGGTAAACATCAATTACAACAACAACATCCAGTTATGAAATTAGGACCCGATGGTCAACTTTGGTTTGAACAACAAGATGGTACACAAATAATATCAACAACTAGTACAGCTGCAATAGATCCAAATGAAGCAATTCTATCGAATGTAACAAGACAATCACCAATAAAGCTAGTTTATGCACGTCCACCCGAAATAATTGTTCAAGAAGTAACAAATCTAACCGATACTATCGATACATTACCTAGAATACAATCACCCAATGTATCATCGAAACCAAATCAAGAACAGATATCAACAGATCATCGAACACCATCACCACCAAATACTGTTGATGAAGTGGCTGAAAAAACAATGTTAGATATTTTGGATGATGCTATCAGACAACTTCGTGATGAATCATCGAATCAAATGATATCACCGATTTATGTTAATGAAAATATTCAGCCAGAATCATCGCCAACAGATCAAAATAAATTGGGAAAACAGGATAAAAAATCAACAAAATCAACAAGTCCAAAATTTGGTAGAAAAAAACGAAAATTACCCGGTTATTCATCATCACCGATGGCTAAATTTAAAGATATCCGTATGACGAAACCGAAATTTTTTCGTAAATTTCATTCAAAAAATCCAAAGAAAATGAAAGAAACTAGTCAACCAACCGTTGAATTGAAAGATTCAAAACGTAATTCAGATGTTGATCCAACACAGGTTGTTGCCGAAGCTAATGTTCCCGAAATAACTATTGATGAAGTAACACCATCGTCATCGAATATTCAAGATGATGATGATATGAATAATGTTGAAATAGTTGATATTGAACAAAAAGTTGAAGAACCGCAACCACCACCATTTCTATTATCATCAAATGATAAACCGAAGAAAAAATTGGTACGAAAATCAAAAATCAATCTAAAATCTGTTCGTATACCACGATCATTTCGTAAAATTTCGAAAAAAGATGATAATCATGATGATGATGGTTTTTCGAAGAAAATTTCACCACCAAAATCACCGCAACCATCGACGACAGATTTGAAAGAAAAATTAAAAAATCCATTCAATCGTCAGAATAAACAACAACAACAAAAACAAAAACATCATTTTATTCGACAATTACCAAGATTACCAGATATACCGGAATCAAGAAATTCAACATTAAATAGTCAACAACATTTGTATGAAGGTATTAAAGGATCACCACAATTAAATCAACGTCCTTATCATAATAATTCATTGGAAATTGAATTTCCTGTTGGTATACCATTGGATCAACCATATGAAGAATTTGATGATAATAATAATGAACCAGGTTTAAGTCCATTTCATCGATATCCAGATCAACAACAACAAGATGATAATCGAAATAAAGAATCACCGATAATTTTGCAATCAGAATTACCTGTGAATAATCTATCGAAATTACCTGTAACAGAAATAACATTAGCAAAATTACCCGATTCACCTGTTTTTGATATGAAAATACCGAAAGAAATTTGTGAACGTTTTCCATCATCATATCATAATCAACCACCGGAAATTTTAGTAAAAATACCTGAAAATCATAAATTTAAAACCGAATCATTGGATAAACAATCAGTGAATTCAGATCATCAAAAACAACAATCAGAATTTTCATTTTCAAATTCAAACGTACCGGATATTGTTATGATGGAACCGGAATTTATTCTATCCAAAAGACCGGGTATTGAAATTCATCATCATGATCATTCACCATTATCATCTGATATGCCATCAATATTGACAATGGAAATTAAATCGGATGATAATTTGGAACCATCACCATCGTCGTCGATTTATGTTCCATATAATCCACCAACATCAACAACATTCGATTCGAATATTGAATCAAATCGATCGACAACTCGCCATCAGATGGCAGCATTAAATGATGCTATGCATGAAAAAGTTGATAAAATAAAAAATATGGCCGGTTCATTTCGTTTAAAAATGAAAGATTTTATTCATCATACAAAAACACCATCATCGAAAACTGATCCAAAAATTATTGATCAAACATTGAAACCGGAATTTAAGTTTCAAGAAACTGATTTAGATCAACCAACAACAGCAACAACGGATTTTGATGCATCAATGAAAATTGAACAAAATCAACAACAACAACAAGAAAAAGAAAAAGAAATTCCTATGGATTATGAAGATCCATCAAAAATTATTGAAGCATTAGATAATCTTTTGTCGGAATCTGGTTATCGTTTAGATAATGATGATAATAATATGGAAAAACGTTCGAAAAAATCATTTAAGAAAAAATTTCCTAAATTTGAATTTACACATAAACCACGAACAATTGAACAACAACAATGGACTGATAATGTTAATAATAATCATTATGATGATAATGATGATAATAATGATATTGAACGGCCAACATCATTTGCAAGAAAAAATCGTGAACGTTTTGATCAGATACGTAATCGTGCACAAAAATCATTTGGACAATTTGCTGATCGTGTAAAACAACAAACACAACAAATTGGTGAACGAACACGTGCATCGATTACGAGGGCAAAAACAAAATCACCATTACGCAAGCGACCGGATCGGCCACCACCACCAACATCATCGTTTTATGATTTACATTTTGCTTCGGATTCGGAATTATCACCCGGTACAGGTATTGATTCATTACGTCGTTCAACAACAACAAAAGTTTATCAAGATTTAGCTGATCAACAAGAACGTCTTGAAGTATATATGCAACCAGTTAATCGTAATCAACCAAGAAGACCACCACGTCGTCATTTGAATTATGATGATGATGAACGAAGGCAACAACAACATCCGGATTATATGCAATCATTACCATCATTATCGGTGACAAAACCAAAACCACCAAGACCACCGCCACCAAATCGATATCTAACAACAAGTTGTCAATCAATGATACCATGTGATGAAGAAATATCATTAGGAACTTCAACATCAAGTCTTTTGTCTTCACCACAAGATAAACATCGTCGTCGTCGTCGTTTTCCACGTCGTCAACGTTGTCCACCTGAACAATTTTATAAAAATGTTCGATTGAATTATCGACCGAAAAAATCCTATGTAGAATTATTGCAAAAATCTCAACCATTTTATACAATGGCTATTCAACAAAAATCATTAGAACGATCACAATCAACTGGACAATTATATGGACGTTATAAACCAAAACCGATTGATAATTTTGGTTATCCAATACCACCATTACGACGATCACGTACATTACGATCGAAACCACCGATTTGTCCACCAAGTCGAACAATTTTTGATAATTCTCGTGCTGCATCGGTATTTTCAGCTCGTAGTGGTGGTCATGGTCAAAATTATTCAGTTCCAAGAGATTATCTATTTATTAATGATCAATACAGAGATAATAATAATGATGATGATCAATATCTATTGAAAGGAAAAGATTTTTATAGTCCTTATCTACAAGCACCACCAATAACATTGAATGTTGGATCACAACCTGATCTACAATGGAGTCCATTTCAATGGAAAGTTAAACGTTGTCGTTCATTTGGCGAAACAATGGATAAACAAAAATTACAATCACCCGAATTGGAGGAAACATCATCAACAACACAAACACCAGATTCAAATGATACAATTGTACCATCTAAATCGACAACATTAAAACGATCAGCAACAACAATTGTTGCTAATCAAAATTATCGTATTGATAATACAACACATCGTATAATACAACCAGAAACTGTACAACAACGAATGTTTAAATGGCTTCAATCAACATCAACAACATCATTGGATACATTACGTCATCGAATACCAAAAAATTTAAATATTATTAAACAACAACAGTTTGATAGTGATAATAAGGGGTTAATAAGGAGTAGGAGTAATAGTAAAGGAAGACGTCAAACACCACCACCAAGGCCACCACCATCTTCAAAGATGATAATGATGATGATGATGAATCGGGCAACTAGCCCATCATCATCATTATCAACAACAACAACAAATCAATCTATTTCTTGTTATTCTACTAATAATGATTATACAAATAATAATTATTATAATTATAATAATATTGATAATTTTCTTGCAGATACATTCGGTGACGATATAATTGGATCAACGAATAATACTCTTAATGGTGGTGATCATCTTCATAAAAATCATTTACCATTATCATCATCAAATCGTCCATTACCACCACCACCAATTCCCCCAAGACCTAAATTAATACCGGCACATTATTTATATGATGTTCAACGTAAACAACAACAACAACGTCCTTTAACACGTGATGTTGCATGTGATACATCGGAAAATGGTTTTGAAAAATTTTGTCAAAAAAATAATAATCATGGATTCTTAAATAATAATCGTCAACAAATTGAAAAATTAAGAAGAAATGATAAAGATCCTGATGATGATGATATAACACTTGTTGAAAATAATTCAAGTCATAGATTTTATTTACATAATCAAAATGGTCATCATATTCCAAATGGATCAATCAATTTGGATACAATAGCATCTGTTTATACTGATGCACGTACACATCAATCAAATAATACTTTAAATTCAAATCATCAAAATCAAAATCAAAAATCATCATCAATTAAACAATGGTTTGATGATAATAATGTATCGGATTTAGATGATGATAATACAATCAATGATGATATATCATCATTATCATCATCACAATATCAATCTGTTATGGATCATTTATCAAATATGGATAATAATGAATATCTAAATCAACCAGAACAACAACCAGCGCCCATTATTAAAAATAATTCATTTTTACACCGTTATGATGATAATGATTTTAAATCATCAACAGTAATTATACCACAAAAAACAACTGCTACTACTACCACAACCACAGAATCAAATATATCTACCACCAACGCCAATAACATTGATAATACTTCTACTATATCGACAACAATCGATGAATACAAGTCGGCGGCTATGGATAATCAACAACCAGAAAAATTGCAATCATTTTCAACATCAGCTGATTTTCAACAACAATATTCATCATTATCATCATTATCATCATCATCACAACGTTCATCGATGCATTCAGATCATCAACAACAACAATCTGAACAACAACACTATTTTGACATTGATAATGATAATGTTCGAAACAGAATTAATGATGATGATGATGAAAAGCTTCAAAAACAATTTGATGGATTACAAATGATTGATAGAATGTTAAGAAATAATAATAATGATAATGCTGGTGATCCAACAACAACAACAACGATTCAAATTGGTGGAACTGATAATAAAGATGTGATTGGAATCACCGATTCAACAAATAACAATGATGATGATGATCTAAGTAAAGATAATAAAAATCGACAGGTATGTTTGTTTTCTTTATCTGAATTTTTCTTTTTCTATTTTTTTTCCATCCAATTTCTGTTTTTGTATTTTTGTTTAAATTTTTCTGTTTATTTCTTTTTCTTTTCTGTTTTTTCCTACCTTTTTCTTGATTTTTTAGGATTTATTTCATTGATTTTCTGTTCTGTTTTCTGTTTAAAAAAAATCCTTTTCCCATTCTGTTTTCCCAAAGTTTGTCTTTTTTGTTTTCGATTAAAAAAAATATATAACAAACCAAATTCTAAAATGTCTAAATTCAAGTTTTTTGTCAATTTGATTGCACACTCTACAGCATATATTATATGTTTGTCACACGGATACCACCAAATCACTAAAAAAAATTCAAATAAAAAAATGCTGGCTTATTACATCCGTATCACACAAACACTAAAGCAGTCGCACCACACAAAAAATATTAAGATAATTCGTTTGAAACAAACGAATGATGGCGTGTAGTATAATTAATGGCAAAAAATAAAATATGATTTAGCTAGGAAACCAAAACAAAACTAAACAAAAAAAAAGCATTTTTTCCAATGAAATCACCATTCATTTTGATTGACGTTATTTTTTTCCGGTATTTTTTTTCTCAGAAATCCGTTGTGTGATTAAAATTATCAAAAATTTTTTTTCCTAGGATTAATAAATCTATTTTTTTCCTTGTTTTTTTTCTAATTAAATTCATCATTTAATTACGTTATTTTTTTGAAAAAATTTTTAGAGTTTTATCAGTACAGAATCAACTGAATCAACATCATCAAATGAATCAACAACAACAACATTTTCCTATTCAATTGAATCGAATAAATGTATTTCGATTCCGAAATCTAATGATAATATGGATGGTAATGTTGATGGTGGTGGTGGCGGTGGCCAAGATCAATCAACAACGGATTCATCAGCGGCTTTACCAACAACATCAACGGAAAAATCATTATCAAAGCAGTTATCATCCGAATCATTATCATCAGGTAGAAAAGCAAAAAAATCTAAACAAAAAAAATATAGTAGTAGTCTTCGTGAACAACCAAATGAAATAACAAGACCACTTTTAAATGCAACAACAATATTAACTGATGCAACTGGTCATGCTAATGGACAAATTCTATCAAATCCATCATTACGTGAAAATTTAAGTTCATTACCAAAATCAACACCAAATGGTAATAAACCAGATAAACGTTATTATTGTGTACATGAACTATATACAACTGAACGTGATTATGTTGATGTTTTAATAATGTTAACGGAAGAATTTCCAAAAGCAATTGAAACACATGTTACACCAAAATGGTTATCAACATTTTTTCGTCCATTAAATCAGGTTACACCGATTAATAAACATTTATTAAAAGAATTGAAACAAAGAATTCTGATTGATTGGGATGATGAACCGAAAATTTCTGGTTAGTAAATTTTTTTTTCATATTGAAGAAAAAAAAGTTAATTTTATTTTCTAAACCAAACAGATATTATCATTCGAATATGTCCATATTTGAAAGAATATTCAATTTATATTCGTGAATTTGATCGTATAAATTTTATGTTGGATGATCAAATTCAATCAAATTTTGATTTTGAACAATCATTACGTTTATTTGAAAATAATGATCGTTGTCGAAAATTATCAATCAAATCATATCTATTGAAACCAATACAACGTTTACCACAATATAATCTTATGTTAAAACAATATGCAAAATTATTAGATCCTGTTGTTGATCATGATGAATATGAAGGTACACAAGAAGCAATACGTATTGTTAGTGAAGTAGTTGAACATATGGAACATGAATCACGTATGCAAGAACAATCATTAACATTAAATGAATTACGTAATCGTATTATATTAACAAAACCAACAAAAATTATTATACCTGGTCGTGAATTAATACGTCGTGGTTATTTGGATAAAGTTAGCCGTAAAGAAGTACATGTTCGTCATTTTATATTGGTAAGGGGACTTGTTTATTTTTATTTGTTTGTCTGTTTGATCTAATAACGAATGTTTTTTTCCTGATTGATTATTTAGTTTAACGATGTTTTATTTTATCTAACACCAGTTATGAATGGAATGTATAAATTAAAAGAAGAATTACCATTATTAGGTATGCAAGTTGAAGTGACACAAAATTTGCCATGTGAATTTATTGTTCGTTCAGTAAAACGATCGTTTGCTTTGTTTGCACAGTAAGTGTATTTTTTTCAAAAATTGAATGTTGAATTTTGATCAATGAATTTTAAAATCATTTTACCAATTTAGTGATGAAAAAGAACGTGAAGAATGGGTACGTGATCTACGAAAAGCTATTGCTGATCATACGGAAAAACATTTATCATTTAAAAATCGAAATTCCGTTTCCGAAATGCTAAACAGCCAACATAATTCAATGGAATTAATTAATCAATCAATAACATCATCATCACCACAATCAACTTTATCCAAACCAAGTAATGATCAACGATTATCAATATTATCTATTGGTGAATCAGATTATGATTATCCTGTTGCAAGTACTTCAACTTCTGCAATTGAAATATCTTCAAAACCACGTTTAGGTGATTTAGCTCCTGTTTGGTTACATGATAATTATGTTACAATGTGTCATCTTTGTACTGAACCATTTACAATATTAAATCGTCGTCATCATTGTCGTGCTTGTGGACAAATATTTTGTGCTAATTGTAGTTCACATCAATTTCCACTAAAATATTTAGAATATAAACCTGATCGTGTTTGTGATTTTTGTTATGAAGAGCTTAAATCAATGCAAAATCCATTATTATCATCACCACCACGTATTAATAGTATGTTTGTTAATCACCAACAACAAACCGATGTTAATTCAGATTATCATGATTATGCTAATATTGAATCAACATCAACAACAACACCACAAATATCCATAGTATCAATTTCACCACAAAATTCAATCAAAAGTAATAGTTCCAATAGTACAACTTCAACATCAGGAATATCATCTGGTGGTAATAGTAATGGAGGAATATTAAAAAATTTAACACGTAAAAATCGATCAAATTCTTGTCATGAATTACGAAATAATCAGATAAAAATAACAGCAAATCAATTATCATCAACATCAACATTATCACATCAATCATCAACATTATTGATTGGTGGTGGTGGTGTTAATAATAATAATAATAATAATCATCCACATTTACAACAACAATTATTATTACGTAATAATAATATACGTCTTAGTTCACGTTTACTTAAAAATAAAAATGTATCATCAGTATTGGTTGAAGTAAAAGCAAATGATACAAATGCATTAATATCCGGTTGGCTGCAACGTTATGCACAGAAAAAAGGTTGGAAACGTTATTGGTTTGTAATAAAAAATATGGTACTTTATACATTTAAAGCATCGGAAGATGTTCGTGCATTAGAATCATTACCATTACCAAGTTATGATGTAACAGTATCGAATGAATCGATAAAAGGTTATTCAGCAAAATCAATAATTAAATTATCACATCGTTGTCAACCGACTATTTATTTTTATGTTGAACAAAAAGAGCTTTTTAAACGGTAAAAAAAAATTTTGATTTTTCTTTGACTCTAATCGGATTGATTTGTTATTGAATTCTTTTTTCTTTTCTGTTTACATGATCATCATTTATTCATCATCATCGTTTGAAATGGTTTTATATTTCAAAAAAAAAAAAAAATTGACATGACATATGTTTATATTTCAATCAAATACATCATTTCCATCAACAGTTGGTTCGAATGTTTTAAACAATCAACATTATTACAGCCACCACCACCATCATCACCATTATCAACAATGACATCATCATCATCAACATCATTGGAAACATCACGAAGACCAGAATCTGGATAAAGAAAAATCACACAAACACACACACGAAGATACAATTCTCATTCATTTAACATTCTAAGTCATATTCATTTCATTATTGCGGACATTTTTTCAATCATTGACTTTCATTTATTATCGAAAATACTGATTCATAACATTTTTTTTTCTCCATTGACTTTTATTCATTTATCATAGCTTTTTTTTCTGTGTTATTTTTATTTTGTCGATTAAAATATTGATTGCCCTCTTTTTAAGATTGTGCATTTTTTTTTGTCTTTTAAAAAAAACAATTATTAGAAAGAAATAATAAAAAAAAGAAACTCACAATTTTTGTTTCAATTTGTAAAAAGTTTATTTTATTTTTTATATAATTTTGAAGAATCGATATACACAAAGATTGGACGGCAAAGATTCTTGTCTCATTCAAATCTTCAGTTCTAAATATCAAAACATAAGGCAATATGTTAAATATTTTGACACATATCTTGAGGTTAATTGAGTGACAATTCTACAATCCTCCCCTTGGTAGCTGTTATGACAACTATCACCAACCATAAATTTGAATAATAATTGTAAAACCGGATTAATATCATAACAAGATTGTAAATCTGTTGGACACATTGATAACGATAATTCTATATCTTTAAGCATTTTATCATGAATGTTTCGACATTCAGGTAATCTGTATGGTTCGAAATTACATTTCACTTGATAAAAATAGGATGCATTTATGCAGCCATTGATTGTATCTTTAAAATTTGGTACCGATGATGATGATGATGATAAATCTGCATGATTTGTTGGAATCGTTTCGTTTTCTAAAAAATAATCATAATCATAATCATCATCAAATGTTCCATATTGACCAAATGAAATGTTTATATTGATCATCATCATCACTATGATGATGAACCATATGGATGAAAATAGTCGAATCGAATTCATATTCAGGAATTTTGTTCTTTTTTTTCTTTGACAATCTTTTATCAACGTTACAAATGTAATGTTATCAGGTAAGTCAAATGATCAATCAAATTAAAAACCATTTGAATTTATTTATCCAATAGTGAAGAAAATATCATCAATGTCATACCAAAAAATGTCAAACAACAACGGGTAAAATCTGAATGTCAAAATGTTAAAAATCAAGTGATGAAAAAAAATCCTAATGAATCGTGAATTTGGATTGGAAAAAAGAACAAATGAAAAAATCAAACAACAACAACTTGATTCAAATGATCCATTTTATTCATCTTTTGATCTATAAACATTTTTTTTTGATTGGATTCAAATTTTAAGATGTTTCAATTGATTATGCAAAAAAGGAAATGTTAGTTTTTAGTAAAATTAGATTAAAATTCATCACCATTATCGAAATAATAGAGGTTAAAAGTTAATTTCAAAAAGAAAAAATTATTTTTCAAAATTATTGATCATCATTAAATTCATTGTGTCCAGATTTAATCGGTTGATCATCATTATCATCATCATCAAACCGTACATGTGATCGAAATGGTTGAGCTGATGATAATGATGATGTTGTTGTTGATGAAAATTGTGGTTCCATCGATAATGATTGTTGACTTCTACGTCTTCGTCGTTCTGATGATAAAAGATTATTTGGTTCCGGTTGCCATGATGTTGTTGATGGTTCATAATCATCATCATTATCATCATCATCATGTTGGTCATAATTAAATCGATTTGATGATGATCCTTTTGAACGATTACCATTACGTATATATGATGGTATTATTGGTTTATATTCATAATCAATTCCAGCCATCATTCCTTCACTTGTTATTGTTTCTTTATCACCATCATCAGCATTCTCATTTCCATAACCATATGTTGGACAAATTGAATCAAGATTTAAATCAAAACGATTCGGTGTAAAACGTTGTATAGGTTGTTTTGGTCGATGATATGAATAAACAGAACTTTTTGATTGCCATTCAGGATCTAATGATGAATTTGTATAACGATTACGACGAAGACCAATAGGTTCATCACTGAATGGTTGAAATGGTTCATAATCATAATGATCAGTTAATGATTCAGTTTCATATTCAGGTATTGTTCGATGTTCTGGTTTTGAATCATATAATCGTTGCCAATCATAATTATATTCCGTAGGATCTGGTTCATCAACATTAGAACGATATAAATTATGACGATTTCGATGTCTAAATGGTCGATAAACATAACCAGAACTACCAATAGTTGATGCTATTTCTGGATCAATTTCCGATTCATTAATACCATCATAATTTGATTGTAATTCATCGATATTTTCATTATCATTGGATTCTTTTGGATCGGGTAATAATGATAATGTTTCGGTATCAATTTGATTTTGTTGATCAAATTCATAGGAAAATTTTGCACGTGCTAAATTTGAAAACCAATCCATTTTCGAAAGATTTGATTTATCCACACATAATAAACGAATATTATCAATAATAGTATCCATTTCGGATGTTAAACGTAATTCATATTCTAAAACATTTGGATCCAATGATTCGATTGATGTTTCTCGTTCACCAAGAAATATATCTTTATATGTTCGACGAAATGATGACCGTGCTAGGCCAAGTAATCCTTGACGATAATCATTCAGACATATTTCACGTTGACGTTTTGCACGAATACGAATCGCTTGTTTTGCATCAAAATCTAAACAATCATATTCACGTAAATTGGCTTCAAATTTTGCTTTAAAAATATTTAACTGTCGTTTATATGAATCACGTGCACGGCTACGTTCATAACGGCCTTGTTTTGGATCGATTGGACGTTTTTTCAATGCTGAACGACCAGGAATCATTGAACCGGATGATGATGAAGCCATGCCGAACAACGAAGGGATATGCAATCAAATAATACAGGAATTAAATGATATTTTCGAAAAAAGAATTTCCAAATAAAGAAGAAAAAAGAATGTCGATGATGGTAATTTCTATGTGTGTGTGTGAAAGTCAGTGAGGTAAAATGATGTTAATGATGATGATGATGATGATAAATGGATGAATGCCATCAATGAAATGAAATCGGATGGCGCCATTCGTTAAACGTTGACGATTATTATTTCTTTTCTTTTTTTAAAAATACATCTAAGCAAAACCGACAAAAAAAGACAAGAATTTTAAACAAAAAAGACTTTTGACGACTATGTGTGTGTGTCGGAATTGATGATGATTTTACCATTGAAAAGAATGTTTAAAACAAACACATCTTGATATGGCTGTATATAGTAAACAAGAATTTTGTTTTGTTGAATTAGAATGCCAAAATTTTCGTCGTCATCTTCCTTCAATTCTAATTGTATGCTGAAGAAAATGATGATGATGATCCGTCGTCTTCAGCGTGTCCTCGATGTTATTTGATGAAGATTTTTTTGTTTGTTTGAAATGTTTTTAAAAACGACGATCATCAGCAGTTATTAAATTATACTGCTGTCAATGTTTGTCATATTTGCCAATGACGTTGTTGTTGTTGTTGTTGTTGATGATGTCGATGTTATTCTTGTCGATTTATCATCATCACCATCAACAAATTTATTTAAATATTTTGATGTTGATAAATATTTATCATAGAATTTTTCGACTTGAGTTTTTTGTTCATCTTCCGGTTTATCATATTGAAATTTCCAATTCCATTTTGGATCAGGATTTTTCGATGTCGATGTCAATGTGGATGATAATAAATCTGAACGATTATATAATGGTAATGAATAACCAACATCATCATATAATGATGAAAAATATTGTCGTTGACGATCTTTTGATGATGGTTGTAACCATTCATGACGATTTGTTTCCCGTAAATGATCAATTGAATCAATCATTTTTTCAATATCATCGATTAATTGTTTTTCAAATGATAATACATGTGAATTTGTTTTCGAACGACGTGTACTATCATAGGTAAATCGATTCAATGGTAATGATTGTCGTACGGATGATGTATATGATGAACGAAATGAATATTGATTACCATCATTATCATGATTATCTTCTTCATCATCACGTATCATACGTTTTGATTGAAATTTTGATAAACGATTACGACTTGTTGCAGGTAATTCACTTGTACACATTGAACGTATTCGTAATGAATTACCAATATTGGGTAATTGATTACAGGCAATCGATTTTGTATCATGATGATAATTTTGTAAACATTTTGTTTTTAAATCTAAACCATTCATACGAAGATGTTGTTTAATTTCGAATGATATTGGTATCGAATCATATTGTCGTAATGTTTGTAATAATTCACGACGAAAATATTCACGTTCACGTGTATAAATATTACGTGCTTGACTCATTTCTAATGGTTCGGACATTATGATTCTTTTCTGTTGGATGTTTTTTACCAAAAAAAAACCTAAAACGAGAAAAAAACGAAATGAATTAAAATCGAGAAATCAACAAAAAACGAAATCTTTAATTTTTTCTTACCGAATAGCCAAAAACCAAGAACAAAGCAAAAACAAATCGCTGAACAATTAAAAGAAGATTTTTTGAACGTGAAGAAAGAATTTGTCCTCAATCAGAAAAAACAGAATATTCATCATTTTAAAAATAGAATCGAAATCACTGCATGTCACACCACGTACATCCATATAAATCCTTAAATATTATCATCATCATCTTTGGAATGTCAACATTTTCTTTCGTTCGTTCTTTGTTCGTCAATGTTTTTTTTTGCGCCAAACAAAACAAAACAAAAGACTTCCTTCGGTAATAATGTCACACGCAAACACAGACAGACAGACAGACAGACAGACACAGAATTTGTTGATTCGAATCCAAATATTCCAACCATATTGCCATCTATCGGATTCGATTTTCAACATTACAGACATTGACATTCGAATCTGAAAATGAAATGAAATTCCTCAAAATCAATTTCAGATTATTTAAATATCAAAATATGAATGTTTTTTTTTGTTGTTGTTTTGACATTCGTTTTTTTTTGTTTTGGTTGAGATATGTTGATTATTTAACACATTTATGATCTTTAGGATTTTTTTTTTTGGTTTGTCTGACTGATATAAATCTCGATGCGATTGATTAGTTTGTTAATCATTTTTCAATTTTCAATCAATCAATTCGATCAACAACACGATCAACAATCACCAACGAAAAAAAATATTGTATCGATTGCTGTTCCTGAAAAAAGAAGAAAAAAGAAGAAAAAAAATATGTATTCGATTCGACCATTTTCATCCATATTGATCATAACAATGATGATAATGATGATGCTCATTAACAACAATTACGTATTGGGTCAAAATAGTTATGTTGATTTTACTGGTGTTGATGATTATAATAATGATAATAATAATAATGATGATAATAATCAAAATTTCACATCAAATAATTGTTTAAGTTCAATGAAATGGGCTAGAGAATATGCAATAAAATATGAAGAAGAACACTGTGGACTTCTTAAAAGAATCAAGAATGATGTTTGTGATGAAATTACTAGACAATTTGAATATTATGTTTATGCTGTTGCAGATTGTTTTAATATTGTTTTAAGTGATCAATGTGAACAATTAAAATCAGAATCGATCAAATTTTTTCATGTAATTGAAAAAAATAATTGTCCAATCAATGGTAAAGAAATGGTTTATACACGTATTTGTCCTGAATTAAAATATCTTGTCAATTTTGTACAATTTAAATATTATATGGATTGTTATCAAAATAAACCAACCAATAAAAATAATAATCATCATAATAATCATAATAATGATCAAGATATTACCACCACCACTACAACTACTGAATTATATCCAGATATCAATAATAATAAAAATAATGATGATGTTCATAATTATATTGATAAAATCGATAATATTGATAATTATATTGAACATGTTTTTGATCTATAAGATGAATCGATGTAATCAATCAATCGATCGATCGATCGATTATTTGTTTTGATTTGATTTTCATTATCAATCAATTTATTTATCTGTTATTTTTTGAGAATTAAACAAAAATTGAAAATTTTAAAAATTTTAAAACAAAAAATCCCTAAAATATGAATTTGATTCGACTATTTTCATTCAAATTGTTGATCCATAATATAAAAATGTATCATTTTTGGGTCAAAATAGTTAGAGATAGAAAACATTCGAATATTCGAATGTGATTCGAATTCGATTCGATTTTCAACCAAAATCATCATCACTTTGACATTTGAAATGAAGAAAAATGAACTTCCTTCAAGTCAATTTTTTCAATTATTTCAAATATCAAATGTGAATTTTTTTTTTGTTTTGTTGACATTCTTTTTTTTTGTTTTGGTTGAGTTATGACATTGATGATTATGATCTTTATGGTTTTTTTTCTATCTATCTTTTTTTCTGTTGTTGTTTTTTTTTGGTATAAATAAATATAGATGTGATTGATTAGTTTGATTATCAATCAATCAATTCAATTCAATTTGATCAACAAAACGATCATCAACGAAAAAAAAACGAAATTCTATCCGGTTATTGTTTCTGAAGAAAGAAGAAGAAGAAGAGAAATCCTTAAAATATGTCTTCGATTCAACTATTTTCATCATTATTGTTCATCATGACAATGATCAATATAAACAATTACGTATTGTGTCAAAATAGTGATGGATTAATTGCTCCGAATAATAAATATAATTATTTGATTAATCGAAATATTTCTACATGGAAAGATTGTTTTAAAATTATTGATTCTGTTGAAGATGAAGCTGGATCATTTTCAGTAGATAATTGTAATTATCAACAACATAATGATATTTGTGATCTAATTCATCATGATATGGATTCATTAACAAAAATTTTATTAACAAAATGTTCGATTATTGATTTTCAACCAGCATGTTATTTATTGAAAAATATATCAATAAATTTTCCAAGAATATTATTACCACTTGATTGTCAACTTAATCAAACATTATTTATTGGAATTTGTCCACAATTAAAATTAATATACAATCTAATTGAATATAAATATTATCAAAATTGTGAAAAAAATTCATCGTATCCGTATAATAATCCTTATAATAATTATAATTATAGTCAAAATAATCAGAATAATCAATATAATCGAAATAATCAATATAATCAGAATAATCGGAATAATCAAAATCCACAGAATAATCAAAATCCACGGAATAATCAAAATCCACAGAATAATCAAAATCCACAGAATAATCAAAATCCACAGAATAATCAAAATAATCACATCAATAATAATAACAGATTTAATAATTCAACAAATAATTCATCATTACCATTACCAAATCATCAAGTTAATAAAAATTCCAACAATAATAATCGTCCTAATCAAACTAATCAAGTTAATCGATAATAATAATAAAAATCCTAGTATTCATGATGACATGCCATTTATAGGTGGTGATAATATGGCAGCAAAAGGTGGATCAACGAAACAATGAATGGAATGTTTGATAACATTGTTAATTTGATTTTTGATTTTTTTTTTGAATTTGAAAAACAATAATAATAAAAAATCTAAAAGGTGATTTGATTTTTGTTGAACAATTTTTCTTGAAGGAAGGAAGAATTTCCTATGCAAATCTGCCGTCTATCGGATTCAAATTTTTTCATTATTAAATATCAAATATGAAATTTTTGCTGTTGTTGTTGACATTTTTTTTTGTTTTGGTTGAGTTATGACATTGATGATATTCAGGATTTTTTTCACTGTTATTTTTTTGGGTATAAATAAATCTCGATGTGATTGATTAGCTTGATTATCAATCAATCAATCAATCAATTCGATTTGATCAACAACACGATCATCAACAACAAAACAATCACGAAATAAAAAAACGAAATTGTATCGGTTATTGTTTCTGAAAAAAAAGAAGAAGAAAAAAATCCTTAAAATATGTCTTCGATTCAACTATTTTCATCCATATTGTTCATCATAACAATGATGATGATAATGATGCTCAATTACAACAATTACGTATTGTGTCAAAATAGTGCTGGATCAATTGCTCCGAATAATAATAATAATAATCCTTATAGTAATTATAATCAAAATCCACAGAATAATCAATATCCACCGAATAATCAAAATCCACAGAATAATCAAAATCCACAGAATAATCAATATCCACAGAATAATCAAAATCCACAGAATAATCAATAT